GAAAAGAACACACTCTCCCACCATCCACAGACAGGACATGAACACCAAGATGGCTTGAACACAGCATTAATGCCAGCGGGAATCACGGGAACACGCTAGGATCAGCGAGAATATGGTTGTCTTCATTTATATCCTATGTACTAGGCCAGCTAGGTGGCGTGGTGGTTAAGGCAGCTGAATTCCATGTAGCTGACTGCATGAATTACACAAAAATAAACTAACATTTTAATTACACTTTTTTCATTAAGCTTTTTGAAGCCCCCTCATGTAGTGATTTATTATTTATTGATTGATTTTTGGAGAGGTTTTTTTGCTATAGGATGTATGCGTGTGCTAGAAAGACAAAGAGAGACACCCCCGGGGGAATGGCCACGCCGCAATCTCTTCTCCTCCATTCTCCTCTCAGGATCTTGGGCACACATGCACATGCGCCTGGTGTGAGTTTAAACCACCGGGTCTGGGACTCAAACTGTGGTCAACTACATGCGAGTCTGGTGACATAGCCATTACGCCAACTGCTGGTCCCTATGAGTGGGTTATTGATGAGGCAACATAGTGTGCCCACAGCTCAGAGGTTTTCCCACAAACTTGGTCTCTTTCTACCTGGATTATAATCCCTCTGCATTATCTGCCACCTGCTGGTTTTCCCTGAGGGTAAAGGGGAAGATGGGGCAGAACAGGACTGGGGTTCGTTAATTACTAACCCTGGAAGATCTTGAGTTTAGACAGAAGCTACAATGTGAACAGATTTAAGAGCCAAGTCCCAGACCCAGCAGCTTGGAAAGCATGCCAGGTACGTGTGTGTGTGTGTGTGTGTGTGTGTGTGTGTGTGTGTGTACCTAAAATCCTGAGAAGAGAATGGAGAAGGGACTGTGGTCATCTCCCACCATCCCCAACCCCAGGAAGTGCTTTCTTATTGCCTCTCTATTTCTCTCTCCCTCTGTCTCCCTCCTGTGAGCACACATACTTTAAGGCAAATAGATCCTATGTAGTCCTATGAAATACAAAGGAACACACACACACACACATATTCCACTCTCTCTTACCTCCAACAGAGGCCTGGCACTATCGTGGACAGACAGAATATGGGTCACCTTGTTCTTGCTCAGTTGTTCGGCATCTCTGGCATCTGTCATAGAAGGAAAAAGATATTTTAATATTTCTGCGAGTTAATTACTCCTAAAGTCTGACCAGGAAAATAAAACACAAAAATTGTGATGCATATTTCTTTCTTGAAACTCTATAACTGACCATACCCACAGTAACCTATCGGGTCATCAGACATGCCATGCCATATAAAATACACCATGAGTTTTCCAATGACCCAATATATTAAGGATATTCAGGGTTATTGATTTGTATGCATTTTGCCTAGTAATTTCTGATTTTTTGGTTTGTTTTTGGAGAGGTTTTCGCTATAGGGTGCGTGTGCTCGCCAGACAGACAGAGACAGAGGGATAGAAAGCGAGAAATCACCCCCTAGGGGGGATGGCCATGTCGCAATCCCTTCTCCTCCATTCTCCTCTTGGGATCTTGGGCATGCACGCACATGCACCTGGTGTGAGTTTTAAGCCACCGGGTCCGGGATGTGAACTGCAGTCAACTACGTGGGAGTCCAGCAACATAGCCATTATGCTAACTGCTGGTCCCATAATTTCTGATTTTTAAATTTAAATTTCTAATCTTTTTTTGGAGGGGAGAGGTTTTTGCTATAGGGTGCGTGCGCTCGCCACACAGACAGAGAGAGAGAAACAGAAAGCGAGAAATCACCCCCCAGGAGGGATGGCCATGCCACAGTCCCTTCTCCTCCATTCTCCTCTCGGGATCTTGGGCATGCACGCACACGCGCCCAGTATGAATTTAAGCCACCGGGCCCGGGACACGAACCGTGGTCCACTATGTGGGAGTCCAGCGACATAGCCATTACGCTAACTGCTGGTCCCAAATTTCTAATCTTTTGATACAAAGTATTAATCTAAAACTTGAAGTGAACTTAGATTAGTAAATATTGTAATCATAATGGTTGCTGTACAAAGGAACTGAAGTTATGAGTTCATTTTGCCATCAACAGTTATAGGCTACGGACACTTAGGGCAGTCTTTTATATGAGACGCATGACAAAAAGGATGTCCAAAATATTTTTCAAAGCCCCAATAGTAATTTAAGTTAAAATTAAATGAAAAGACCCATTTATTATAGAAAATATAAGAACCTGCCAGTCCTGATGTCTAAAGCAGGGACAGGTCCAGATTTACACAGGATGGTAGTTTACAATGTCGGTATTCACTTTAGAGCAAAAGTAAAAATGGAACATTGTCTACAAATTCCAAACAGAATTTCTATTAAATTATTTGCATATGAAGCTAAGGTAATACCACAGTTGTATTCCCTTCAACACTATTACCTATAGAAAAAAGACCAGGTAACATGATACCCATTTGGGGGTTCCCAAATTGGAATCTATCTGCTTAACTGTAAAACAGGGAGTAAATTTCCCTATGCCCTAGTCCTGGCCTGGCCTGACCAAGCTTTTCAAAATGATATATGGTAAAATGGATTAAAAAGCAAATGTTTAGGACCAGCAGTTGGCGTAATGGCTATGTTGCTGGACTCCTATGTAGTCAACCGTGGTTTGAATCCTGGACCCGGTGGTTTAAATTCACGCCACGCGTGTGTATGTGTGTGTGCCTGAGGTCCCGAGAGGAGAACGGAGAAGGGATTGCAGCATGACCATCCCCCTTGGGGGTGATTTCTCGCTCTCTGTCTGTCTCTCTTTGTCTTTCTGGTGAGCGCATGTGCCTTATAGCAAAAACCTCTCCAAAAGAAAAAAAAAAAAATCAAATGCTTAATTATCATGTTTCTGGAGAATGAAGTGGGGAAATAATCAGGATATAATATTAATAAGCAGGGGGAAAAGCAGATACCAAGCTATAAATAACACATAAATTCAATTTGTAAAAAAATATAAAGGCACACAGAAGAGAGGGAACTGATATAAAGACTTAGCTCCAATTAAGAAATGAAATGGCATTTTTTTTTTTCCTTCTCTGAGGTTTTTCTGTTTTGGTGTGTATTCTATATGAGTGGTTCTAAAAGTTTAACATGCATGTGAACTATCTGGGAGGCTTGTTAGGCAGATTCCTGTGTTCCAACTTAGTTCCAGAGCTACAGTGGAGCTGAGAAACCTACATTTCTAATAAGCCTTGTTGATAGAGCAGAAATGAAGAAACACTTTTCTAAACAGTCAGCCATGTAGGGTTGGACAGTGATGCAGCAGTAAAACATGATGCTCAGTGAGGCCAACTACCACGAGGAGGTTCTGGGTTCGTGTCTGAAGGCGTCCTTGAGTTACACAGAGTGTCCAAGGAGGTTCTGGGTTTGTGTCTGAAGATGTCCCTGAGTTACACAGAGTGTCCATGACTCAGGACTTTGAGGCTGGGATGGATCACAGCGTCAGGACTATTGGGTGTTCTCTCTCTCTCTCTCTCTCTCAGAAAAAAACAAAAACAAAAACAAAACTTTGAAAAAATCACTAATATTGGAAAAAAAATCTTTGAAAGAAATAAAGTATTTGCTTTAGTTTAAGACTCTTTCTATGGCTCTAGCCATCTTGAGCTTCAAATTTGAATGTGCACAGCAGCTGCTGACATCACGTGCATGGGGATTCAGTTTCTAACTCCCACCCACCATCACAGACTGGGTGGTCAGTGAGGCTAGCTTTGAATTAAGTATGAACTATAATTATTTAGGAACCCACAAGCAGCCAGCCCCATAGTCAAACCAAATTGAAATTTGCAATTGCTATAGCTATGTCCATTTTAGACAAGTAGTGACATACTATAAGGAGCTTTGGGGGCTCAAAGACAATCGAGGGCAGGCAGGGAGGTTCACTGGACTCTTCCATCTAAGATCCATTCAGATTCTGATTCTACCCAGCATTCAAATTTTCACAATCAATATTTGTCTAAATAAGTATTTTTTTTTGTAAACAACAGCCTTGATTGGGATCTAATTCACATACCATATTATTCTTCCTTTAAAGTACACAAGCCAATGGTTTTTAGTACATTCACAGAGTTGTACAATTACCACCACAACCTAACTTTAGGATATTTTCATCACCCCATAAATATACTTTTATAATACCAATGAAGACTTTTTAAAAAAGTGTTTTGAGAATAAAATGACATATTTGTGAATACAAAAGCCATCAATGAGCCAACTGATTGTCAGACTTCAAAGAAAAGGGAAGGAACAGCACTATCTGCACTGAGGCATTACCATGGGGTTACCCTTTCCCATAGGCTCCACCCACTTACTTGAGGGTGCATAAAATGTTTGATCGGCTCTGCTAGATGATGGCCTTCCTACTGAATTCAAATTACTAATGGTTCTGGATGGCCCCCTGCAAACATAGGCAATGCAGTGAAGAGCTTTGAACACAGTGGCAAGACTTGGCCATCTAGTCAGCCGTGCACCTGCATAAGCCTGAAAGTTCGAGTAACTCTTTCTGAGGAAAAAAAAATCACAGGGGTAGAACTTAGCCCTTAGGCAGAACTTGAGTATTCAACAGAGATTCCTCTAACTCGCTACATGGCCTCACCTGTAGCATATTAGAAATGCAGACCCTCCTCCCCCTAGGACCACCCAGACCTACACAATCAGAACATGCACTTTAAAGAACTCTAGAAGTCTACATGTATGTCCTACAGGGGAGCCCTGGAGGACCTAGAGGGAAAGACCTTTGACCTAGTGCAAATAGCCCCTCCCACACACAATATGTTAATGCTATTGCTAAGCCATTCATTCATAGCCAGTAGCCATCACAAATGCAACACATTGGTATTAAGAAGTCACACATTAGAATTCATATGAAGAAAAGCTACGGGGGAACCAGCAGTTAGCGTAATGGCTATGTCGCTGGACTCCCACATAGTTGACCGCGGTTCGCATCCCGGACCCGGTGGCTTAGAACTCATGCCGGGCGCGTGTGCGTGCGTGCCCAAGATCCCGAGAGGAGAATGGAGGAGAAGGGATTGCGGCGTGACCATCCCCCCTGGGGGGTGATTTCTCGCTTTCTGTCTCTATGTCTCTCTCTGTCTGTCTGGCGAGCGCATGTGCCCTATAGTGAAAACCTTTCCAAAAAAAAAAAAAAAAAAAAAGCTACGGGATATATGTTGACCTTTGGATTATTGTTTTTAATGTATGAGCCCTAAATATTACTCTTATAATCGGAAAAAAAAAACATATAAAAAAATACTGTTCACAAAATCCCATATAAATGCATTTATAAATAAAATCAATAGTCAATCTCTCGGTAGTAAAAACTGCTAACCATGTTCTTTCCCCTTTCTGCCAACACCTGCCCTAGCCCCTCTGCCTACTTTGGCCGCCTACCTCCAATTACCCAAAGGCCTCACTCCACTTATAAAGAAGACTGGCCCCCTTCAGACAGGGTGAGTATCGAAATAGAAACATTTGCTGTGCTTTCCCCTGGGGTTGTACTTTCTATCCCTGGCAACACTGAGAAGACCTCACTGAGGCAGCATATGGCTCTGCTGGAAGATTCTGTCCTCAGAGGGCAAAGGGACAGTCACGAGATTACTGAGGGAGTAGATTTGGAGCTCAAGTTTTTATGCTGATACAGAAGATGAACAACGGTAGCCAGTCTTCAGGTGTGGGGAAGACCAGTGCAACCATATAAGCTAGTCTGGCAAAAGTCAAGCAGAGCTGCCTTTGAAGAAAATGAACACAAATATGTGGGAGCAAGCACTCAAAATTAACACCATCAACAAGAGCTCTCTAGGAAAATGAACACTTGGGAAGAAAAATCATCTTTGGCAGTGCCTTTTAAATTCCTGCTACACTAATTCAGAGACTCAAAGCACAGCCAGGCAAGATAGGGGTGGGGAGGGATGAGGAGAGAGGAAGGAAAATTTGCTTTAAAAGGATCCCACCCTTCTGTTCTGCTTTGAACCCACAGTCTGTCATTTCCCAATTTCTTTTTCATGATAGAAAGTGTGTGCACGTGAGAGAGAAAAAACACACTCAATGAGGCCTAGTCAGGCTGCAAACCCCTCTCCTCAGCCCTTTAGGCCCTCAGGATCCTGGTGTCCATGCGTATGTCTT